AGGCCTCAAACCTGTTCCTGAGATGGTTCTGAAATTCAGGTGGGATAGACTCAAAGTCATATTTTGGTTGCCTTGGATTTAAATGACAACATATTTTTTTTTTTTTTAAGGTTCGGTTTGTACTTGCATATGAGTTGTTGATGATCTGTTCCACAATCAGCACTTGACCTAATTTTCACAGCTGATATTGAGCTTTTCCAATGATTCTTTCCATAGATGTAATCTATCTGATTCCTGTGTAGGCCATTAGATGAGGTCTATATATATAGTTGCAGTTTGTGTTTTTCATAAAAGATCTTTGCAATTAATAGATAATTGATTATACAAAATTCTGTCATTCTATCTCCAGACTCATTTCTTTCAACAAATCCATGTTTTCTGACTACTGACCCTTCTTTGTTCCCAACTTTTCCATTCCAGTCACATATTATTATTAATGCGTCTTGGTTGCATGTTCAATCTTTTTTCAACTGCAAAAGTTGGTAGAAATATTCTATTTCCTCCTCTTTGACTCTGTTGTTGCATGTATTTGAATGATAGCGGTATTAATTGGTCTTCCTTGTATAAGTGTGGATATTATTCTGTTACTGACAACATTTCAGGATGGATCTTGAAACAGTATTAAGTACGAATGTTGTTATTGTTGTTGTTGCTATGTGCTGTCAAGTCTCCTCCAATTCATAGCAATCCTATGTACAGCAGCCCTAACCCGTGCTCTATCCTGTGCCAATCTTATTGTCTCTCATACACCTACTCCCATAACTCCAGTCGCTAAATCAATCCATTTCACTGAAAGTCTTCCTCTCCTGTGCCGTCCCTCTACCTTCCCAAGCATGGCATCCCTCTGAAAGGACTGGTCCCCTCTTGCAATACGTCCAAAGTATGTCAGACGAAACTTCAGAATCTTTGCCTCCAAGGAGCAGCCTGGTCTGATCCTCTGCAGGATGAAGCTGTTTGTTTTCTTAGCAGTCCATGGTACACTCAATACTCTTCTCTAACACCACAGCCCAAAGACATCAATTCTCCTTCTATCATCTCTAGCTAGTCATTGTCCAGCTCTCTGATGCATAGCAAATGATTGAAAAGACCATAGTCTGTATCAGGCACACCTTAGTCTCCAGACTGATATCATTGTTCTTCAGTACGCTAATAGTATTAACTTTGAATGTGACCTTGTGTTTCCTCACTTTTTTTTTTATCTCCAGTGTGATAGCATCAATATGATTAATTAAAAAATATACCATGCCAATCCATTTCAGTTTGCCAATGCCTAGTATGTCAGTATTTATGCATCCTATTTCTTAACAATGTTCAATTTTCCTACCTTCATACTTCTCACATTCCACATTCCAATTACTAGTGTAACTGGAACAATCAACACTCTTGGCACCAGCAGTGCAGTCAGGAAATCAAAAGACTAATTGAATTAGGAAAATCTGCTGTCAAGGACTTCTCCAGAGTGCCAAAGAGCAACAATGACATTCTAGT